ACAGTTTCACAACATGCCATGGGCATGGCACACCACGGGATGCTCTGCAATGACAAGGTCAAACAAGGACCAGATGCATGTTCTGAGATCACTCTGTCCAGGAGGACCCAACAAAAAATAGTAGCAAAAAAGTAGCAATTTTACTGTCTGAACATGCATTTGCTTAAAAAAACAACCCAGATAAATCCAGATTTTATTAAGAGAAAGTGAAGCAATCCAGGCATTCTGCACAGTAATGACAGCATTAGGCACAGTGAGCCTCATCACCAGTAGGAATTTCTAAAAGCCAAGCAAGCAGCTATATAATTGCTTTAAGTATGCTATGACTTAGGGCTGAAACTCCATTTGAATGGAGGATGAGGGGGAGAACATCATCCCTTTAGAGAAGATCCTTCGAGACGTGTAACTGTAGAAAGGCTGGCAAATACAACATTGATTGGGAGTGAGGTAACCACAAACACCACTGGCTCAAATGAAAAGGGATTCAGGGGCTGACCCAGAAAACAAGCCTCGTAACCACTGGGATGAAATTTTAATGACAAACACAAGAAGCTCAGCGTGCAGGCCAGATTGAATTATCTGATGTCAGGCTTGCACAAAGGGGAGCTGCTCGCAGGCACCTTCGCTCCCAGCTCAGGTTGCACTTAATCAATCCTTGATATTCTGCCATCTCCTGGCTTCAGCCTGGGCAGCAGCGTGTGCAGAAGTGGAGAGTGCATGGAACACAGGGCATTTCTGTGTGCTGTACCTTTGCTTCCTTCACAGATTAATAAAGAGCTGCTCCTGAACCAGTTCAAAGTGTGCCTCTATAAATCACACACCTGCAGCTGCTGGTTTAAGTCACTCTGCTCACAACATGTATAAATTTCCCTTTCAGAAAAATTAAAAAGCTCTACAGCAACTAAAATAAAAATGATTCCACTTTGCAGCAGAGTTTGAAGCAGGACAGTGAAGATGACAAGAGCACACCTAGCACAGCACAGGTTCAAATCAATCAGTGATTCCAGGCTTGCTCCAAGATTCCCAAACACTGCAACCCCAGCGTTCCTGCTCTCTCCCACTAGAACTTAATCTGGCTGCTGCCAGAAAAAGAATTAAGGATGCTTCTATAAATACATTAGCAATAAAAGGATTGCTAAGGAGAATCTTCATCTTTATTGGATCAGGGAGAAACAGTGACAAAAGATGAGGAAAAGGCTGAGGGAATGAAGGCCTTGTGCTCAGGGTACCCAGGCTGGAACACAGCGACAGGAGCAGAATGAAAGGCCCATGATCCAAGGGGAAGTGATTGGCATCCTGCTGCAAAACTAGGACACACAATTCCATGGGGTGGGATGGGATCCAGCCCAGGGTGCTGAGAGAGGGGCAGAGCTCACCCAGATATTTCCCACCTTTCCCAGCAGGAAAAGCTTCAGACATCATTATGAAACTAAGGAGAGTGGCAAGCCCAGCTTCTAAGAAGTCTTTTGCAGGTCACCTTTGAGCAGGAGGTGATGGAAGAGAACAAAGGACCTCACCAGAAAGGAGCAGCTCCTTGTGTTGAGGTGTTGCTCAAAATGACTTAAACTGAAAGGCCCCAGTTGGACCCAGGCACTGAAGTCCCTCCAGGAGCTGGGCTGGAAGGAGGATCCAGGGAAATGCAGGATCTCAGCCTGACCTCAGTGCCACAACATCTGCAACAGAACATCACCAGGGCAGGGTCCTACCTGGGCCACCACCACCCCAGGGAATGCCAAATCCTGGGAGGAGTGGCTGCACAAGGTGGGCAAGGCCTTGGGGGTGCTGGTGACAGCAGCTGGTGACCAGCCCAGCTGTGCCCAGCTGTGCAACAAGGCCAAGGGCACTGGGCTGTCCCAGGGACAAGCACTGGGCACTCCTGGGGCACCTCCAATCCTCTGTCCAGTTCTGGGCCCCTCAGGACAAAAAGGACCTGGAGGGGCTGGAGCACCAGAAGCGGCTGAGGGAAATATGATCAAAAACCTGCTAAAAACTGAGCAGCCCTGAGTGTCCAGTGCAGCAACCTGAGACAGAAGAAAGGTGATGGCCCAAAACCCTGGACAGAAAAACCTTGGGAAATGCCCCACAGGTCTGGATTAACAGCACCAAACCTTGCAAACTCACACACCAGCTCAGCCCAGACACACAGGTCCCTCTGCAATCACTCATTATTGCCATGCAAAACTGAGCACACGAGTGTTTGTGAAACAGGAGAGAGAATCATTAAATGTAACAGATAATTGATATTTATACTGAGAGGAGAATTGACTTTGTAAACCTCAGCTATTAAATTACTTCTTCAGTACTGAAAGAATGCAACAGTTTGCTATTGATCACCAGATTCATTACACTTTTATGACAAATCTGAAAGCACAGTGCCATTAAGTACAATTTTATAAGCTGGGAGAGACAGGGGACAGTTACGGTTGGATTTAAAAAATAAAAACACAGCAAACAACAAAACCCCGACAAAATATTCCCTAATATCCTAAATACTTACCAAATGCACATAAAGTATTTCCCTGCACAATTTGCTGATGCCCTTGGAAGTTTTAGTTATAGCTTGAAGTCTCCCTTGTTTGATATTTACCAAATTAAGAGACAAAGCAGAGTGAAGGACAAGCAGTAAACAGGAAAGGATATAACATAATTTTTGTGTTCTAATACTCTAAACTTTTCATTTACTCACCAGGTAAATTCAAACAGCTGAATTCTAATTTCCTCATGTTGTTTTACCAAATACATGCCCACAGCTTCATAAAGAGATAATTCATTTCTCAGAGAAATAACTGGGAAGTCATTTAAATGAACATGACTTTTTCTAAAGGACACACAATGCAGATTTCCCTCAGTGGTCTCTTATCTACTTATCTATTTTCAGGAACTTGAATTATTTAATTGTATCACACTCCTGAAGTAAATTCACCAAGAGAATCAGGAGATACTGGAGGAACTGGAGGACCAATGTGAAAAGAGTGTGTGCAACTGTCACAACCCAATTTCTGTAATACACCAAGTCAAAATATGGACTATTTGAGTTTAATACTTCAGAAATGTAATTTAATCTGCATAACTCCTATCTACTGCATGTTTGGATATAAATACAAAGGAGAAAATGAAGGAAAAGAAGAGCTGGAGGTTTTGGCAGCAGCATGGAGACAACTGGGTTTGCTGTGTGAGTTTACAATCTTGCTCTCAGTTATCCAGGAGCATTTAAAAGCATTTCCATGAATTAAAGTTTTCCAGGCATCTTTCTTATAACCAGTCTGTGAATTTCAAAGTATTTTAGAAGCAGTTTTCTCTAATCCTGCACCATTAACATGAAGTGCTACCATAAAACACTGAACTCTGGTATGTCAAGGACAATGTCCCAGCTCCCCAGGATATAAAAAATAATTTTAATTTACTCATGTGATTTCTGGAGGGTTACTAATTATTGAGCCTGTGAAATTCAAACACACTACAGCCTCACACTTACTGAGAGAATCACTGTAACTTCTTCTAAAAATTTGTGAGGCTCTAAAAATTGTATTTAAGAGTATAAACCACATGAATACCTAACATTAAACCAAGGTCCAGAAAATTTCTATATTAGGAAAAGAGAAGTTTGAGTTTATCTATTCTGAGTGGGTTATTTTCCTTCCAGGCTGTCTTTTAATTAAGAATGGAAAAAAGTAATTTTTGTTCTGTGACAAGATATCCTCGTGATTAAGAGATTTTTGTGGAAAAACATAAAGGAGAAAAAAAAACAAAAAGGGGATCAGAAAGCACCTGAGTTTTTACAGGGACTATTTGTACATGAGGTAACTTTTAAACAGTTCCATAAAAATCTGAACTGCTGGGGCAAATATTAGATAAACATCCTTATCAGCCACTTAAGGAGAAGCCTGTCCCAGGAACTGCAGGTGAATCCATTCTTATGCTTCAAAGAGGTGCTGCTTGGAATTTATTAAAAGAAGCACCTGAGATTTCAGATGGTGAAGGTGGAGTGGGCATTACACACTCTAGTGAAGGTAAAATGAGCATTACACACTGTAAAAGATGGAATAGGCAATACACAGCCTGGTAAAGGCAGAGTGGGAATCACACACACTGTAAAAGATGGAGTGGGAATTACACACTCTGGTAAGGATGGAGTGGGCACTACCCACTGCTGCATTACACACTCTGGTAAACGTGGAGTGGGAATTACACACTCAATGAAAGACGGAGTGAACATTACACACTCTTGTAAATGTGGAGTGAACATTACACACT